AGCTTGGACCACATAACTAGCGAAAACTGTATTCGATATTTCTCGAGTACTAAAGCTTGTAGAGAGCTAAAAATTCGCGTTCATACTTTTACAGGTTTGTAGTATACAACTACTTATGTGGGAACGGCACAGCATCACTTTGGCATACGCATGAAAATTTCCGTTTTCTTGATTTCTAACAGAGAAAAAATACGGCAAAGGCGTGTATAGATGTCTTATGTGAATAGTGTTTACGTGAGCAAGTTAGAATTTTTGTAGGTTTTTTTGAACTGAGTTACGATTTTTCTCAATTTTTCGGACAGTTGAATCTTTTTAGTTTTTGGCTCGAAACTCGTAGTGGATCAGAGCTGTTGCTAAAGCAGGATTGCCATTTTGTAGAGCTTGCTTTGCTTAATCGAATGATGTTTTGCAACCTACTTAGAAATGAGAAGTGTACGACTTATTGCGGTTGGAATTCAAATCCTGCATTAATTCTGTTACAACCTAATAGAAAAGTCCAATCAGGTTCAACTTCTTCCCCTTCCTTTCCCATAAGACCTCGAGTTTGATTCGCATTTTAGTTTTTGGCGATCTGGCAACTTGCCAATTGCGTCCAAATGTAATAACAGGCAGAAAATACATAACGTGTGTAACTTTTGCAGGCTAATAAAATGCCCTATCTCCCACATTCAGCATGCCTTATGATGAGTTATAAACATTTGCAGTATTGCCAAATCACGTCACTGCTAAAATCGCTTGAAGTATGCCCGAGGCCTAATAAATTCCTCCATTACTTAAGGCAATGACGCAATTAGAAACTTGTTTTGTCTCGCATCGTCGCAGTAGTGCGAACAGCTAACTAGCGCGTCAAGATGCTGCCAAACAGAAACATAAACATTACGAAGACATTCTGAAAACATTCCGTAAACAAGGTTTCGCTTCTTGAAACTTCTACCCACATCAAAACTAGTTTATCCACCGATCATGATGGAATGTCATACTTTTAGCGATTTCTTCTTACATTACTTCGGAAATGTTTACAATTTGATGTGGAAAACAAAGCTATGAAATGTTGAGAGTATAAAAGTGAGACTTTGCTACTTTTTCACATTTGCAATGTCAGCACCAATGCGACGTCATTTTCTTATCAGAATTTTTACTACTGCTAAATTTTTGTTGTAATGTTATTTCTTAGATAATATTGCTTTACTACTACATTCCTTTCTATAATCAGTTCGGACCACTATTGACTGCAAACGTATCCACTACAGCGTAACTCCTTTGACTAGCTGCTTACCCTTAATAATGATCAATTTCGTTTGGGGGTTTGCGTCATATCAACAGATCATCCTAAATTCACAATCTGACATTTCCTACATGAAAAGTAAAACCTATAAGAAACTCAAAAATCAGAATTTGTGTTGCCTCCTCGCATTGGACACCACTTTTTCTTCCAGTATCAAAACTACTCAAAAGTTTTGAACAAGCTTGTAAGAAAAAAAATCTTCTCGTATCTGTACTGGAAAAACTCTTTTAGCCACGCCCTTTCTAATAACATATCCCTCTCCCTCTTCCTTCCCATCTTTTTCGGGGGAGCTATATCTGCAAAGGGCTTTGTATAACAATCTTTGACTTTTTTAGTCTAGTCGTTATATGTGCTTATTATAAACTCAGCATAAGGGGATTTCACGTGAACATAAGCTTTTCTGACATATGTTTTCTGATACGAGTCACAGGAATCTTTGATTTTCCAAACGAAAATAGGAAGATAGTAGCTTTGAGACAGTCTAATTCGTTACTATGAAAGCTTTATGCCGCGAATATATACCTTTTTTGTTATCCCTTCTTGTCATTTCAGTTCGTAAAACTTCTACCAAATGTTTCTTCTTTTTTTTTTCAAATTCCGAGTTTAGACAGTTTACGGAAAGAGCGAATTATTTTTTCAAATCCTTCCTTTATAGAGAATTACCTAGCTTGATTAGCAAAGACAAATTAGTGCACCTTCTACCGTAATCGCTTGTGCAAATAATCCGATTTTTTCGCACTTAGCAAGATTACTGTAGCCTCCTTTGCTCCTGGGATTTCTCTGCAGTAGACATGAATGAAAAATCATTACAATATAGTAAGGCACTAAATCATCGGATTAGTACTCGAAGTGTTCTTGTACTTGCAATTGAAGATTATTGCTAATTATCCTTGCACACAGGTCTGCTTTTATCCGTGTGGATAATTATCAAATTTGAAAAGCTTCACTTTTCTAGCCTTTGTGACCATTGTCTGACTTCAGTAGAGTACAAAAAAATTCTCTCGTTTAGTCATGGTTCGCATCTTTGGTAAGTCTAGATAGTTTTTACCTTTTCCGGTAATTACTATCATATAATCTGTTCTAAAAAAAATCAGGAAAAATCTGCATGTCCTGCGTTTGCATGGTTAAAGTTTCACATACCGTCTGCTTGCCGCTGGGGCGTTTCGTGCCAGGACCATGTCTGTCTTCTCTCACTTCCTTCAAACTCTGCGCCCGGCAGCGGCATGCGGCGCAAACTCTCTGCATTCTGGAGACGCGTATGTCGGACTCAACGCGAACAAAATGACTGACATGCGCCAAATTAGGAAACATCTTTTATCTATTGCAATCTCACTTTGCAGGCCATAGATAAGTAAAAAAGGCTTCAATAGCTTTTTGCAGAGAACTCGTGATCAGTTGTCCATTGCTATCCTTGTTGAAGCGTTCATTAATCACAAAGTGCAACTGGTTCGGCGCCAATCCGCTAGTTCGCAAGCCAAAGTTCGCGATTTTCGAACTGCTCACATGTCCAGATCATATGCTTGCAAGTCTGCTTGCTGGGCTCCTAATGAGTCTGCAAATCTGCAAATCGCTCTAGTTACCGTTTCCACACGGTCATAGGAGGCCTCGTAAATTTACTATCTTACACAGTCAGCGATTCCTAGACGCGACACGTAAAAAGCCTCATCGCTCCACTTTCTCTGCAATCACTGCCATGTGACCATCTTATCTGCTAGTTTCGTGCTAAGTGGCACAGCTGCTTGGCGCATTTCGGAGATTTTCTCACCGCTTCCTTCCTCTAGGTTATTACTACTACTGTAGCAGTAAAAAATCTATAGAATTGTAGTTATTGATAAAAAAGTCGTCTGAAAAGCAATCCGGATTGTTTACGGGATTGTATTAAGGATAAGTAGCTCTTCAAATAATAGTTGCAGTAACTTCGTTTACATCATTACGGTAGCCTCGTTTATCATCCTGCAAGTACTGTATATGAACTCCTTCGGCGTTTGACCTACCTCGTTACCCTTACTTTCTGTAGTAAGCTCGAGAATTTGTTTTCCCTACCTATTCCCGTCTGTCTGAAATATATGGGGTAGGTACTCTTATGACCAAAACATCTTTGCAAAAATAACCCGAAATATCCGGCAGCTTATCACCGTTCGTCGCTTTCTCGCCTTTGCCTGAGTTCACCTCTTACTTTTTGATACTGCTCTCTCTCTCTCAGACTGCTTTTATGATCTCGACATTGCATCTTCTTACTACTTTTCTTATCTTCCATTTGAGAAGATAATAAGTACTGTAGAACCTTGATTGCAGTGTTCTGACATTTCCATTGACCCTTCTGCTCCTGGTGAACTCTGCTGCCGTCATTACCTATCTCAGAAGAATTTAATTTCAAGAATAGAAATTTTCGCATTAAGTTACAGTGATGGCCCAGACGCGTGGAAAAGAACTATATAGAAAACGCAGACCAAAACAGACTTTAGCCTCAAATTAGGGCTAAGCGACATCTAAGTTTTTTTTGCATTGACGACGTTCCATATCAGATGATTTGATGATGAAATACATCTACTGCACTGTAATACGAGCGAGTGGGTGCTGTTGTCTTACAGTCCCATTTCTGGGTATTCTGTTCTGCAATAATATAAAGAGGTATAATTGAGCGTGTATTTATGTCGGTCTTACGACAACTGCGGTGCTGCATATGTATCTATCAAAAAATAGATTTTTTTAGCACAATGTCATTGACCTGGAAACAAAATATAGCTACCATGGAAGCATACTGTAGCGCTAAAGATTAGCCAAAATTTACATAACAGGTTCCAAATTTGGCGAAACTTATTTACCGGTAGTATCTACTCACGTGACTCAATGTTATCCTAAAAGCAAGCTCCTTTCTCTACTATTTGAATTCTATTTCTGTAATGGAAATCTAATAAGTTTTTTGTCTCTTTGGTCGTAATGCTTTCTTGCATCATTACCTTCTCTCATCGTAACTTTTCCGGAAATTTCTTTGTAGCTCCGCCTCATTCACATGGCCCCTCCAGATTCACATTACGAATGTCAAATTTTGTGCCTGCTGTCGACTAGAACTTCTGAAGCGAAGAATTTCCTAGGTCAGAGCTAAGTCTCCTGTAATGTTGGAGTCTATCATGTAACATTTACTGCAGAATTCTTGTCTAAGTCAGCAAAATGTTTTTTGGAGCTTACAGTTTGTTATTTTCTTCTTTTATCATAGAGACCAAGGCGCATAGAGTAATTCTTCTAATACCTTGCATAGGTGTCACTCAGCTGCAGAAATAATAGGATTGGTGTTGCCATTCCTTTGCTCTTCTGCTTCTAAATTCGCCATTTTGCATATCTTTGGCTTTGGTTTGATTTTAGTTCTTCGGTAATGCTATGATGATGCTAGAATTCTTCATAGAGATGTCAATCTCCCGTCTGGTGACTGCTAACACATTCCAGGATCTTTGTACCAGTCAAGATTTTTGAACCCTGACTTCACACCTTAAGCTCATCAGACCAGAACCATAGCCGAAAAAAACAATAGAAAGCCATATGTACTACCTGCAATCCATAACAAGGAAGTAAATTGATTCCGCACCCCATAAGCTCTTAAAGTCACAACCTTTCTATCTCCGTTCGTCACATTTCGTTCCTTACACCTACTGATTCGTTCAATTTTTCAATGTTTGCAATTTGATAAGGAAGTTTATAAAGATTGTTACAATTACAGATGTTGCCTGTTGTACTATTATCATTCGTCGTATTGACATGCATGGCCCAAGAAGAACCCGACATACTCTCAGCACATGGTGGTGTATTTTCTGCTCTAGACTGGACAAATGAAGAATTAGCGGAAGTTTCGGCATTGCATTCCACTGCTTCACATCATAAATTAATGCAGTATATAGCGGTTAGTGAACTTTTACCTACGTCAAGAATAGTGAAGTATCATTTGAAATTTTTCCTTTTTAGGACAAACTAAGCAGATCAGATATCGATGAAAAATCGCGACGAAGAATTGAAAAGTTCCTGAAATTGAAACGCCCGCCCAAGTTTTTGGAAACGTTCCTGTCAGAATCTGACCGCAAGAAGGTTAGCGAATACTTTGAAATACCTTAAGAGAATTCGTTATTTTACCTCTTAAGTGTAGAAATGGAAGACAGAGACAATCGAAATTAACAAAAAAGAAGGAAATTTTTAGGAGTCAAAAATGGATAAAATGCCCTTTAGTGTTGCCTTGTCATTTATATGACAGCGTTTTGAAGCCACGAACCAGTTAACCACAATATTCTTTTGTTTGCAAAAAAAGAATCGGGAAAAATATTTCTACGGATTTTGAAGGAACTAAAAGCGACTTGATCGAAACTTTTATGTGAAAACAGTTTGGGAAGTCCTATCTAGGCTATTGTCGAAGTAACAATTCATATGATTCATTTATGGCCGAGAAACATAACTCTAAATTCTTGCCCATACCGTAATCTTTCCGAGAGGACCAGTCAGCAGTTTCGGTGTGATGCGCCTATGAAATTCTCGTACCCAGCCTGCTCTCTTTAATCTTTATATGCTCAGAATTCATTCACCTACCATTTTTTGCATAAAAACCTTCCAAAACATTTCCATTTCTCGCCCTAAATACTTTCCTTAACATTTATAAAGTGATTATGTTGTCTCTTCAACATTTTGATTTTTTGAACCCTTAAACGGTAGTCACTGCTGGTATCTCGCTGCGCTAGACAAGATGACCTTGCAGAATTTTACGCGCTGGTCAGAAACTATAAGCGATATCCGTGGTTTTATTGCTTGCCGCCAGCCGCGCCTTTTTTACGGCTCTTATATCGCAGTGCAGTCGTCAGCAGTAGAATTTTTGATTAGATAAGGACTTGTTCTATTGCTGGCAGTTATGCTGGCAACAGAACAACTGGTTCATATCTGGTAAACGGTTTGAGATGGGAGTTGAGTAGAAATGCACAAAAATCTTTATCTTAGGCCCCGGACAGACTTCACGCGATTTGATCGTCGCGACTCAATCGCCGACATTTCCATTCATTTTCATTTCACATTCAAAAATTTCGGGCTGGAAAAGTATCACAACCGAAATGCAAGTAGATCGGCATGGAATGATGTTGTAACAGTTGTCTCGTCGCGATTCAGTCGTGACGATCAAATCGCGTGAAGTCTGTCCGGGGCCTTAGACTCTTGCTTAATCACTTGACTATGGAACCTAATATAAAAAAAATAAAATAGGGTGATTCGGCGTCTTCAATACCCTCTGCGGTCATGCGCCAAACGCACTTCACTTCATAGTCGAAGAGGCAATTGTATGCGTGCGAGCATTTTACAATGAGTTGCTGGGGCCAGCCGATTACCAAGCAGTGCTTTTATCCTCCCAGATTACTCTGGTACCTTGGCCTAGGGCAGGGATCGATTTGGTGCCTCATATCGCAACGCCAATCGTTCCAATGTGGGCCAGTCCTATGTGTTCGAAGAACAAAGAGAAAATGTTTGTACCAATAATGTATGGGCAAAAAATTTTTTGCAAAAGACGATGTGTGAAAAACAACTTGATGTGTATGTGAATATTATGTTTTCAGTTGCTGAAGTACCATGCCTCCGGCGATTTCCACGATTACGCCGCACTTCTCTTCGATCGGCTATTTGAATTGCCTCGGGAAAAGGCAATTGCTGCTCTGCGTTATTTTGGCCATACGTTCGAGGCAGATGCTTTGGAAAACGCTGAATGCTATGATTGTGCTGTAGCTCGACTCTCAGAACGCTTGGCTCGTTAGAAGTTATTTACCCAAAGTTTTGCCTTTGTAGATTTTCCCGGAACTCGCTATCGAGTTATAAAATACTGGGCCAAAGACCCGTATGCCACCGTGTCACCTCCTACTCAAAGAAATCTATCGAATCTCTTTTGCGCACTGAGATTCAAAGTAAATTTGGACTCAATGCGCACATACTGTCTCTCTCTTTCCTAAGCTTTAGTAGACATATCTGAGACGCTTATGATTTTTGTAAAATTTCTGCTCCATCGCCGGAGCTTCTTATTACGGTTGTGAATTGCACAAGATCTGATTTTTGTAGATCTCACGCATTGATTGTGCTGCTATCAATAAATCTACTACAAATAATGAATGACCGAATGTAATCTTATCGCCTATTGAGCACTAATTACTTTGAAGCTTTGCTGTTGATTACTTCTAATAAAGAGTTGTGTTAAATTCTGTGTCTCATATTGTTCCGTTTGCCCTGGGAGAGCTTCATAGAGCCAAAATACGCGCAAGCTGTGCCCAGGGCGCGGCACAGATGAGCAAATGACAGGGTGGAAATCGTTTTGGGTGGAAAAGCAAAATAGATGTCGTTTTTGCGGGTCCCGGGGATAAGCCCGGATAAACGATAGTTGAAATGGCAAACAAATCTGAGCCTTTCCCATGGATTGAGCTTTCGCGCGCGTCAATTCGCGACGTCGCCCAACCGATGCAGGTTGGAACAGCATAACCAGGGTAAAGCGGGGGGTGCGGCACTCGACCGTCGGATACGACCCCCCCCCCCCTGATTGCTGTCTTAATAAGACCCCCCTCCTAAACTATACACTTAAGATAGTATTACCTGAAGGCTCTGTCAAACATAATGGACAACATATCCATAATTAGCATGTCAAATACCCCCTGTAGACAAAGTGTGAGCGAATTCTGAAGATTCAAGATACTAGGCTACCTAAGTGAAATGGTCAAATTCCAACATGGTTAACTTTGTTTTAAAGGTGAATTAGCTATCCGTTTTTGCACTCAAGACAAAGCACTACTCCTTCTTTGTCCACCTCAGGAATCCCGCTTCAGAAGACCTCCAAACTGTGGAATTAGAAGCCAACCAAAATCTCATTTTTCCCATTTTTCGCTTTTGATGGCTGTGCTTTCACCAAATATTACTCAGAGCTAAGAAGACGAATCAGGCTCAAAACATCCCTATGGAATCTACGAGGTTTAGGCTATCGATTCATATAAATATTGTCCGCTAAAAATGTTTTTTTGATATAGTTAATGGCCTGCGGCACCCCTGCGGCAGCCGCAGGTTTTGAGGGGGGGTGCCGCAGGCCATTAACTATATCAAAAAAACATTTTTAGCGGACAATATTTATATGAATCGATAGCCTAAACCTCGTAGATTCCATAGGGATGTTTTGAGCCTGATTCGTCTTCTTAGCTCTGAGTAATATTTGGTGAAAGCACAGCCATCAAAAGCGAAAAATGGGAAAAATGAGATTTTGGTTGGCTTCTAATTCCACAGTTTGGAGGTCTTCTGAAGCGGGATTCCTGAGGTGGACAAAGAAGGAGTAGTGCTTTGTCTTGAGTGCAAAAACGGATAGCTAATTCACCTTTAAAACAAAGTTAACCATGTTGGAATTTGACCATTTCACTTAGGTAGCCTAGTATCTTGAATCTTCAGAATTCGCTCACACTTTGTCTACAGGGGTTAATTGACGTGCTAATTATGGATATGATACGAATATCATGTTATCGCTATAATCAGATCACCTAACTACGACCCCCTCCCCTTTTGACTCCTCAATACAACCCCCCCTCTGCGGCGTGCCGCACCCCCCGCTTTACCCTGAGCATAACCTTTGATTCAACTGGCTTGGCTTCGGGATGGCGGAGCTTTGTGACCTAAATGAGGTCGCTCGCGCCCGCGACGCACCTGCATCTCTCTCGCGCGAGTGCTCTCCAATCACTAGCCTTAATTAGGTCACGAAGCCCCGCCTTTCGGAAGCCAAGCGTTGAATTGGTACATCGATACTTGTCGATGTACCCTTGAATTTAACTGGCTTGGCGGCTGGAAGGCGGGGTTTTGCGACCTAATCAAAGCTAGATAATGACCAGAGAGCACGCACGCGAGAGAGGCGCAGGCTGCGTCGCAGGCGCGAGCGACCTTAACTAGGTCACAAAGCCCCGCCTTCCAACCCTGAAGGCAGTTAAGTTATGCGTAACGGTATGGCACCAAATTCCGTAATTGAACGAAGATAGGCTAGTGGGAACAAGGATGAAAAAATTATGTGATTGATAGGTGTACCAGCCTGTTTTAAATTTCCCATAATTGGCGAGTAAAAATGTGAATAACGTCAAGGCGCAAGGATATGGCACAAAGCTTGGTACGTACGTAGACATGGGTCTAAAGGATTCAACTGAGAAGTTTCAAGGAAAATTATGTGACTAAAGGTTTTGGGAGGCTTTCTTCTGAAAAATTTCCCTTTACCACAAAATAATAAAAAGGCTCGTTTACAACGCACATACGATGATATGGCAAGTGTGTGCGCGCAGTGGGACTAAGCAACTAAGTTTGCAAAACTATGAAAAACTTATGTGAGTAAAGAGCGTACTTAACTTTCCCCAAATTAGGTGGGCAATTGCTCACCTAATGCCGACCTGAGGTAAGCAAAACTTTCATTTCACTTAAGTTTTTCAAAAATTCTACCTAAATCTGTTCTACGCTTAGAAAATATATAGTGACATTTTGGTTCGAAAACTCCAACTTCCTCCTTGTTAGGATCAGGAGTAGCACCGACGCCGGTCTTTTTGAGGAAGAAAGCGCGCTGCAATCGAACAACGTACCCAGCTGGCTGGATCAAGTGGAAATGTAAAAATCGATAGTGGCAAAAGCGAAGTTGTCTTACCGAAGTCCATTTGCCACCCTGTGCTGGGCCCTGGCTGTGCCCATAAGAAAAAGAGAAAAGAAAGAAAAACTATATGCACTGCAATACAGTAAACCGAAAGTCTGACTTGAGGACTTGAGGCTATCTTTGATGAGGATGATATCAAGGTAAACTGGCGCGTGACCCATGCCTTCAGTGACAGAAAGTAAAGCATTATAGCAGAAAAGTAAGTATAAGTAGTACGTAGAAACAGGTGAGTGCATTGGGGAACAGGAATCCGAGAGTAGAATTTGGCCTCGTTAGGTATCCATCAACTTTCAAATCAATCCCTTTTACATCTGTGGGGGAAAGGATGAGCAATCAGAGAGTAACCACCCCATTCAATACCACAAACCTCGTATATTCTAAGAATTGGTTTGAGCCTACTTGGACTAATTTTAGCGCTTTTGTGGTCCGTCGAGTAAAGCATTTAATAAAGCGGCAACTTAGCAGCACTTCCCATTCGAAAGCGATGTCAAAATAATTTCTAGGATCAAAGGTTTTTATTTATTGACCAGTGCTGCACCTCTGCTTCGCAGAATCTGGCTTTTGTAAGCGTAGATGCATAGGAACGCACGCGAAAGAGCTATGTTATGAGAACAAGATATAAGACACAGATAAGGTTATAGTATGCTATAAGAATAAGATCAACTGTTACAGATAGACGAATGATACGCATTTCGCGGTATGCTATATAAGCCGCCACCGAGAGCACAAGTCGGATTTCCCGTACCAAGCCTCGAGGTAGGACGATACCGACTGGCAGCCCAAAGCTACCCCTCCGCTGTTACAGGCTGATGCCTGCCCAACCAGCAACTCAGTAATCTATGTTGTTATATTTGATTGCCTTAGTGTATTGCTTGATTCCTAATTTATGTCATAACAGATAAACTATTAGTACAGCTAGTGTTCGGGTATCTACCAGCCTGAGCCGCTTCCACAGCGCTACGTTGAGTCTTTCTATCTTACCTTCCTCTCGCTCTCTTGATGTTGGCTCTGGAACTCACCGTGCGATGCTGACCATCATGAACGAAATGTAAACAACTATTCATTCTATGAGTTTTTTCTTGTAAGAGCGGTAACTTTGGGAGAATCCTTGTGTAGAAAATTAAAAAGAGTTTCGGTTAGTTGGAAACTAAGGTTATTATGGTCGGGTAGTTTCCATAAAGGACAGTCACTTCCGTCACCCATACTTCTGAGCAAAAATCTTCATAAATAACTAGGTGAAACTGTGACAAAATGACAATCTAAGCTATTATTTCTTCTTGCGCTGTTTTGCGTAAAAATAGAACAATTTTAATAATTTAAAACAATAATTTTGCTCACTTTTTGGGCTTAGGCTGGGTTCATACTGATTTCCAAATTCCGAAACTGTTCTCGCATGTGCTGGAACTGTTCCGGAACTGTGCTGCATGCACTGCAGCCGTCCAGCAAGCGTTTTGAACGGCTGAGTTGTAGAATTTTAACCGTTTTGAACGGTTTTTTCTTCAGCATTTTTCCCATTTTGGCCTTATTCCTCTACCTCGCTTCCCCTTTTGATTGGCGGAACTTCGAACTCGAAGTGGGGTTGAAGAATGAGCGCTTCTGTGCTCTGCATATGCGACAAAACGTGTGTTCTTGTGCTCGATTTTTTCTTCCATTTCTGTTCAAACCTACTTCAAGTGTTCCAAAATATTGTTTATGTCCCTTTCAAGACAGATGCGAGACTATGCAGCGTCTTCTAGAACACATGAAGTAGGTCTGAACAAAAGCAGCGGAGAGAGAATGGACGAGAGCAACGAAGGCTCATTTTACTGAATACATGGCGCAGAACAGCATTCAATCCTCAACCTCGCTTCAATTTCACAGCTTTTCTCATCACAAGGAGAAGCGGGTGGAAGAAAGAAGGGAGAAGCAACGGTATGGAGGAAAGGCGCTGAGAATGCCCAAAAAGAAAGCTCATCAGAAAACAAGAGAAAAGTCCCAATTTATGCAGTCTCAGAATAGCTCACACTCCCTTATTCATGGCAGATGGCTATGGAAACTACGCAGCGGCTTCCTGGAACAAATAGAATAGGTTTGAGTAGAAATAAAGAGCAGAGAAAATGGACGAGCACAAGAGCACACGTTTTGTCGCATATGCAGAGCAGAAAAGCGCTCATTCTTCAACTTCGCTTCGAGTTCGAAGTTCCGCTGAAGGGAAGCGGGGTAGAGGAACAAGGCTAAAATGAGAAAAATCTACAAAAAAGGCAGTTACAAACGGTCAAAATTCTCCAACTCCCGCCATTCGAAACGCGGGGGGAGGTTGCAGCGCATACAGCACAGTCCCAGAACAGTTCCAGCACAGTGCGGGAACTGTGCGTGAACAGTTTCGGAACTTGGAAATCAGTATGCAGTTTTATGCTCATGGTCTGTGCAGTTATGTACTGTTAAGCAAATCCACAATTTCGCAAAAAAGTACAATCACCGATCCATATGATAAATAAAAACTCGCGTGTACCGGTTTACTGCACAATTTTCAAAGGTTCCAATTATCGGATCGCTTGTGCTTTTGCACACTTTACCTACATGCTTAGGACGCTATAACCCAAAAATTCAGCTAAAGATTTGCCTACAGCTTGCCCTATGAATTTCCTGACAGACAGACATAAACACACACACACACAAAGCTTAGCGCCTTATTATAGGACATGATGAGTAATAGAAGTTTTCCCACAAAAAAGTTTTTCCTCTTCGTAAAAAGACATTGGTCGATTTGAAAATGAAGCTTTTGAAATGGAGATGCGTGGAAATGTAGCAGTGACGGTTAAGTGCCGATCAAGAACATCATACCCATCCTAGAGTGAAGTTTCTTTGGAGAAGTATAAGAGTCGCACGGCAGGAGATCAAGACTTCACAAACTGCTGAAGCGAAGTGAACATATTTGGTACCTAGAACAACGTACTCACTTTTAAGGATATTATCAGCTTGTAGCGCTTTTCTACTTCGCCAAACTCAGTTGTTGCAGTTTTCTTATCTTTTCAAACAATTCGGTTCGTCCTCTCCCTCTCTTCCTCCTCCCCATATTTATCCCCAATGCAACCCCTCCTCAAACCCCCCGCGCCTGATCCTAATTTTGCCATTCATAGATTTGTTCTGACTTTTCTCTTGGATGTATCGATGAGTTCCAAACAAAGCAAAAATTCTTTATTAATACTAGCAAGTAACTCGACTTTTACGGAAATTAACTAATTGAAGCTTTTGTAAATGAGTGATCACTTGAAATAAGCGTGCATAAATTTGAAGAGTTTAGCGGACGGTTCAATCAATCTGGAAAATATCATAGTCAATCAGCTACTACACTCAGCGTTTCCAAACAGACCAGTGAGTTGGACTTCACTTGCCTTCCTAAGTTCCTTTTGTTCAATGCTATTTAGTACGAGTACTAAAAACAAGGTTAGAGAATGCCAACACATCTGATTCATACATGGTTTTCCATCTTCAGCATCAGTGCCTTCCATAACATGCGCAGGTGAAGCCTTCTCATAAGGCACGGAATCTTCGTGTTTGCTGATGCCCCAGCATCCTGTCAGACAGCAAATATGAAGAGCTGCAAACAGTTCAGGTTTGTGGTGAGATATTTGTGCAAATTAAAACCAGCCTTTGAAACACACGGCACACAGCTTTGTCATTAAGCAAAGGAGGAGAAATCACAGCATAAGTCGATAAGAAGTGACTGCTGCACAATTCATTCTTAAATAGCCAATGATATGGAAATCATACATTCGGACTCAGACAACAATTAGAGCTGGTGATGCGCCTCTACTTCGCCAGCGGTTATCGCGCTGCGTGGTAGCGTCGCATTCCTCTTGCACAGGTCTACTTCCTCTTCTCAATGAAACACATTTCTGCAAGTATATGTAGCTTGAAACATTTTTCTAGCCATAACTTGTCTAAATAGTGGTTTTGATGCAATGTCCAACGGAGCAAAAGAAAAGGTGTAGGTTTAGAGAACGAGTAATTGCGAATATTTCCACTTTAAAATATTGGCAGAGCCAAGCATACTTCACGCGATTTTAGCCGCGACGCGATTTGGCAATTCGCCAGAAGTCTTCAGATCCAACACTAGCAAACTGTACATGTATAGTTGTACATATAACTTACGTGGATTGATAAAATTCCCTAACTTCTGCACATTTAAAATGTGCTTACGGTGAGTTATGGACCGTTGGAATATTGCCAAGTCACGTCGCGACTGAAATCGCGCGAAGTATGCCCGGCCCTCAAAGGCAGTGTCCTAGCAAAAAGTCGATTTTGTGATTTTGTGCTTACTCGGGCCTAATCGCCATGCTGAATCCGATAAACCACAATGGAGAGCGCGAAAACGCCAAAAAAAAGACCCTAACGCAGGAGGGAAATCGCAGGTGGGCGGGGCCGTTCACATCGTGACGTCACTACCCCAGGCTTTAGGAGCAATCTTCTCGGTTCCGATTTTATGTCATGCGTTTCGCAGTTTACCGGCGGTGATGTTAGGGCGACTAGCGAGAGCGAGAAGATCGCTCCTGAAGCTGGGAGAATGACGCCGCTAGTGAGCAGCCCCGCCCACCTGCAATTTCCCTCTACCGTTAGAGCCTTTTTTCGCCGTTCTCGCGCTCTCCAGTGTTGATTTTCGGATTCAGCATACGGAATAGGCCCAGGTAAGCACAAAATCTCGAAATCGACTTTTTACTTGGACACTGCCTCTAGTGGAGTGGAACAATGCGCGCACATCCACGAAATAATAATAAAACTCAAAAGTTGCGCGTTGTAAGTATATATTTACTGGTTATGTAAATTCTTCATGCGAGATTGGTTATGAACATAGCTTCTTAGAGAGAACCATTGCAAATTTGCATCACTTACCGACTTCTTTATAGTTTGATATCTTCTTTGAGCACAGAGAACATTACAGATCCTTAAAAATCAACGATTTAAGCGAATATCTCTTTCTGTCGCCGTTCATTTGAAAGATAACACTTCTTCAAGGTTCTCTATCTAAAGGAGCCTATGAAAGCGCATAAAGTACTGAACGTGCGGTACCATTTGGATTCTTATGACGTACAACTTGCAAATAATTGCGCTTCGAGTCTGCTCATTTCTGTTCAAAAAAGCCAGATGGGTACAACAACCGCTCATTGGCCAAAATATGGGTGCCGCGTTTTTGAGGCTGTGAGTAGACCCGCTACCTAAGCGAAGCGCTGAAGTTCGGAGTTTTAAAGCGGGTCTACCAAGCCTCAAATTTGCTCCGAAAGTGGCCCGGATCTCACGTTAGGCCTGAATGCCACCCGCACAGCGATTTCGAATTGCAAGCACGCATAGCGCACACAGTCATAGGCGCAGGGTTCCGCAACGACTCCATGTTTCTACCTTGCATGCATCTCGTACTCGCCCGGAGCCTACCGTAAAACGCGGGCTACTGGGGGGGGGGGCGATTTGTAGACTTCGTAGACTCCACTCCCCTTTTGCGCTGCAAACTTCTGTCGTCGGTTAGTTAGGGGGTCTACCATTACGCTACTGCCGGAGCCAAGTACCCCCCCCCCCCAGTTTGGTGGGACGCATGCCTTTGAGAGGTTACTATAGTAGGAAAATCGGTGGTGCACGATGGAGAAACATTGCTGTCAGGAAAACTCCTCTCATTTTTTTAACTGAATCAAAGTAAGGAGTGCCAAAACAGCATGTTACTTGAGAAGTAATTCTTCTTCATTAGTCAAATGCAAGGAGCATATTTTTTATTAAGGAGAACATTTTGCAGATACAATTTCCTAGATCCCCACGAGTATATCGACATTTTTAGATGAGTTCACCACTTTGTTGGAGAGAGACCAATGAGAACAAGGTTGCAAAATTACGAGACAAACTAATTGAGGTTTGTGGTCCTTCAATATGTGGATTGAAACACATCTTCCCAAAAGCAAGGCGCACATCTGAAAAGAAAGGTCTTGGCCGGGATCGAACCGGCGACCTTCTGCGTGTGAAGCAGACGTGATAACCACTACACCACAAGACCGCATTGCAACACCTTGTAGGCATATGGAAATAACCAGTGCGTCACCTCTGCTTCGCAGAGGCTCGCACTGGTCTTGCTTTATATGCTTACTTGTTCTCGCCTAATGATGTCTTTGAAACTCACTGTGCAATGACGACTACCACGAATGAAATGTAAACAACTACTCATTTCAAAGGGTTTTTCATGTGAGATCGGTAATTTCGCGTGGATGGAACTTTTCGCAGAAGAACAAATGCAAATTCGGTTAGGTTTTTAAACTTCTTTTGGCTTGGTAGTCGCCATAAGGACAACAATTACCGTGAGCTACATTTCTGTGCAAAAATCCTCTCAAATGGTCAGGTAAAGCCACGGCGGATTGACCATTTGCGCAACCATTTCTTTTTGGCGTCGTTCTGGTATAGTAGTAGACCTTGTCACTTTTTCGCCTTAAGTCTATGTCTTGCACATCAACATGCCAAACTCATTCACGACTTTGCGAAAAGCGTTGATACAGACCCAATTTTGCGGGCCAGAGGCCAAGTGGATCCGTCTGACTCGCAAATTCTGATGGATCCACCCAACAAATCTGCTCGTGATTTTGTACGGTGAAGTATAGCATGCGCTGTGCAAAATTTGGGCTCAGGACATTGGCTGGAACTCGCTCTATGAATTTCGTTACAGACAGACGGACACACACACACACATACACACACACACACACACACACACACACACACACACACACACACAAAGTCACGTAAACACCCTTAGCCCGTTATTATAAGTTACTAGCTGATCTGCCCGGTTCAGCCCGGGAATGATCACTGATCGGGAATGAAGATAAGGTATTCGGTGGCATTGTAGAAACTGTGTAAAGAACAAAAACAAAATGTGAACACTTATTAGTCGGTAGCATACCTCTCTTTCTCCAAATCAAGTTCAACACGCAAAACCTAAGCAAGCAGCGCGAGTTAATTGATAGCAGCGCTCATTGTTATTATGAGGATAATTTTTTGTGACACTTTGCCGTTAACCGGCTACTTCATCTTCATTCACTGCTTGCCGTCAATTTTTGTGGAGTCGGCAGTACTTTGCACTCGCGCACTTTCCTGGTCCCAGGGATCAACTATAGCGAATGTGAGTTGTCGCTTGTCTTAACATATTTCTGGTATTGACAAATAATTTGTGCGCAATCTCATGAAAAATTTTGACCCCTCATTGTTTAAATTGAGCATGTAACGAAGAAAGCTTTGATTATAAGCGTAAATTGAGCACCTTCCGTACAAAACACTCGCTACAAAGCACTCATGGTCTCTTGCACGCTAAGGTTTCCGCAGCATAAAATACATTTAGTGCATCCATTTAAATGAGCAATTGAGACTCACATCAAGAACACTTTTCACTGCACTTCGTCAACAGAAGTTCACAATGAGACATGCCAGCCTTGTTTACATACCCCTGTTTTGATAGCAAATGATAAGAATCATTTTTATTGCAAAGTGCTGCAAATCAATAAATCGATAGAAGGACCCAACTAATCGCTACAAAAAGTAGCCTATCATCTGCGCAAGGCTCGAAAACATATGTGTGCAAAGTTTCAGCTTAATCGGTTGAGCGGCGCGCGTTTCTATAACGCACATACCCTCCAAACTGACAATTTTTGAGTTTTATATATATACCAGTGCGTCACCTCTGCTTCGCAGAGGCTCGCACTGGCTCTACTATCTAGGCCCTACTCATTCTCGCATAGTGATGGCATTGGAACTCACCGAGCAATGCCGACTATCATGAACAAAATGCAAACAACTACTCATTCCGAAAGCTTTTTAATGTGAAATCGGTGATTCCGCGTGGATGAGACTTTTTGCAGGAGAACAAACGCAAACTTTTATGGGTTTTTGATTTTCCTATGATCTTGACAGTTACAATAAGAATAGCATCACCGTGAGCTAGATCCTTGTGCAAAAATCTCGTCAAATGCTCTGGTAAAACCTTGGCAAATTGACCATTTACGCAACAAATACTTTTTGGCGCCGTTTTTGTAAAGTAATGGACTTTTGATCACTTTTTTGGGCCTAAGTTCATGGCTTGCACATTTACTTGGCATAAACATCCGCGACTCTGCAGAAAGTGGAATTACGGACCCAATTTTGCGGCCCAAATGCAACGTGGATCCTTTGACGCGCAGTTTCTGAGGGATCCACTCAACGAATCTGCTCGTGCTTCTGTGTGTTGGACTTTCATGTGGGTAGCATGCGTTGTGCAAAATTTGAGCCCAGGAGGTTGGCTGGAACACGCTCTACGAATTTCGTAACAGACACTTTCTCAGACACACACACACACACACACAAAGTCACGTAAACATCCTTAGCCCGTTATTATAAGTAATGATAGATGATATTTATGAGAAGCAATCAAGGACATACAAAATATTCAGCAATATTATTCCACTCGTAGTTGCAAGAGCACAACTGTCGCTAAGAATTGCGTTGCTGAGGCTGCGGCTGAGGTAATTCGTCATGCCGTTTGCATGATTCTTACCAAGCGTGATAGGAACTCTTATTCAAATTGAAGTAGATGCAAGCGATGAGCAAATAGCGCAATTTTTGTTTGCATGATACCCTAATTTCACTAGTGTAAGACGCACCTGTTTTTTCTAACTTAAACAGCCTTAACACATGAAAAATTGTCGCGACCAAAGTACCCTCCACTGTGATGCTCCTAGAGAGGGATTTTGTTGTGAGAACCGCCATTTCGCAAAGCAGTGGTGCGGCAGAATTATTTGCTTAAAAAAATGAAAAAGGTGCGTCATGTACTTGCGGAATTATGGTATAGAGCGGATGATGAAAAGAGTCCAACCGCGCATTGTTATATTCACTTAATCCCTTCTGTAGAGTTGCGGCAGGTGGAAGGGAAGGGCGAGGAGTTGAAAATCAAAAATGTTGGTTTGCTGTAACCATTTGTCAGGATCCGAACGGCAGCTCATGGTTCATTTCTAAACTTCAGGGAGAAAAACTTGTTAGCCTTAAAGATCAAGCGATTTTTTTTATCTTTGAGAGTAGTATTCGCGTGCCACTCGTCAACTACATTGTAACAAAATTTGTAGAATATTTGGAGGCCAAAGGTGTATAATTCGAGTGCTTCTCAACTGCTGCTTACCTCAAATCTTCTTACTTTTTTAAAGTTCATCTTGTTTTCTTTAAAATACAATGCGTTTTATAACTAAAAGACACTTCGCAAAAATTAGGATTTCCGCCACCTATGCCGCACAGTCTAACCGAATCTCATAGATCTACACATGTTATTAAATTAAGTGGCATTCTAATCAATAAGTATTCACTTGCTATTCTGCATGTAGGAGCATAGCCGTTCATCGACTTTTTCGCAACCATGCGATTAACTCTTTACCGCCATTATACGAGCAAATCGCAACTTTTCTTACTTCACCAGATCTATTGAACATGATAACATAATTAGCTGATGGTCCGGGTCTCACTCCATATTCTAAATTAGTTTGACCAAAGTGCTTACTTACACTTTCAAACTTCTTCTACCATTGGCGAAAAGCGCTTTGAAACAAACTGCCGCTCCTGCGATCTTGAGATCAGAATGAGCTTTACCGCCCTGCTTATATATTATATTTATTGGAAAATGATTGGCTAGAGCGTGTTAAGCTTTATTGCGTGTAGCATGTTGGAAGAGTAAGTATTGGGTTGTGTTTTAAGTGCCGGGCATACTTCAAGCAATTTCATTTGCGACGAGACTTGGCAATATTCCAACTGTATATAAATCACTATAAGCACACTTCAAATGTACAGAAGACAGGGCAGTTTATCAATCTTCGTAAGCTATACATAGTATGCATGTGCGGTTTGCATTGGATCTGAAGACTTCTGGCGAATTGCCAAATCGCGTTACGACTGAAATCGCGTGAAGTATGCCCTGCCGCTACGCCTTTTCGTATCTGATCATCGAAATAAGTCAGTTTTTCTAAAAATCCTTTTATGATGCGGGGTACTATTCGATAGATCAAAGCAAGCTCTACAAAATGGCATCAAATGTTCGCAGTACTTTAAACTCTGAATTACAAGCCAACGAATTCCAAAAAAAACGAAAACAATCGTATGTCAATATAGAAAAATTCTGCGAATTTTCCACCTGTTCAAGCATATGCTTTCCTCGTCGATTATACGTACACTTGTTGCATTTTTCGATGGCTAGAAATCAAGAGTAAAAAATGCGCTGAATTTTGAACTTGTCTGTAGTGGTACTGTGTTTCTCGCAAGCGTGTAACTAAGTACCCTTCGATTAACTGGATTGACGGCTGAAAGGCGGGGCTTCGTGACCTAGTTAAGGCTAGAGATTGCTTGGAAAGCATGCGCGCGAAAAAAAGCTACTAGCCTTTGACCGCAGAATGCGTCGCGGACGAGAACGGCCTTAATTAGGTCATACTGCCCTGCCTTTCAGTCGCCAATCCAGTTGAATCAAAAGTCAGCTTAGCAACTCAAAGCCGCCGCAAATCGTACCCTCGATACATAGAGCCACATACTCTGGTAACCTTCACTTGAAGGCTATGGGGGGACATAACCTTCACCTGAAAAAAAAACAGAAGTCATCCGGGACTTCGCCCTGGATGTTATTATCCTGACTATATCCGAACGTATGTTAATGAAGCAAATATAGGGAATAATATCTCTAGCTTATTTCAGCGAAACCGAGAATTTGCGTTTTCATAGGTTTTTTACGTTAAAAAGAAGGTTTCTGTGGAATTTTTGCCAGAATTTAGGACAGAATTCCTCAGTCATCTTCTCATTTAAATAAAATCGAGTCTCAGAAGTTTAGAAAAGCTATTGGAGTTAAATAAAAACGAGAAACTGCGCTTGAATCTGGCGCAGAGAGTCGCGCACGCGAAAACGCTGGTCTATCTCGTTAATGAGTGATTTTTAGAGCTTGGGACGTTGTCAGTTCTTCTCATCGTGTCATGACGATCAGAATGATATGTAATGTTGCAGGGTTTCGTTGGGACCCCGCGGAGATCTACGATCAGAGCCAAATGCCCCGTCGACTCTGGTCTGTCTCCGCTGCTCGTCTGCGTCTCCGCGCGCTGCGCGCTACCTCCCTACCCCAAACGCGGGGCGTGGGGCATTTGGCTTTGGTACCCTTTTCTTTGCTGTTTCGAACCCAAATTTTGCAAGCTATATATCATTTTCAAGCTCTTGATCTCTGTTTTCACGCTGACAACTTTCCAGAACCACATTTTTTGATTTGATTGAGAAATCTGGCAAAAACCTTGTTTTCGAAAATCTCTTCTTTTTCTCCTAGTTTTACTGTTTTCACGCAGTTTTTTCGTGCATTCTATAGATCTTGCTTCTGTTCATAATGCAGACAACCACCCAGCCCTTACCTCTTCGACTATGGTGGAATTTTTTGCGAAAAATCTTAAAAAGTGGGTTTTTCTTTACCTTGTTCTGTTTCAGTGCTTTCGCATCGATTTTTTCCCAGCTTGGGCGACTGTTGCTCAGAACCAATAAGGCAACAATCCCGACAACGTCCCAGGAAACAGGAACGTCAATGCGGGGATAAAAACTTGAAGGACGCATCAAAAATCAAAACCCTGTGTGTTGCGAATTACTGGTCCTGGAGCGAAAACTTGCACTTTGAAAAGCCGCCAAATGAAAGATTTCCAACCTTTCTGCAGCGTTCTTATCCGGCTTACAGCGGTTTTTCTGCTATTTATATCTGTTTTACGTCATTTTCTCTTCTCTGATCTTCTTCAAACATTCAAACAACTTTCACCTTTGGCGCCCTGTCTCTAGACTATCGAAGGTATGACTTATGGGACAGTCTAATACTTACATCAATTGTAAGAGGTTACAATTTGTTTATAATATCCCTTTTGCTTTCCACACAATAACGAATAATGATCTAATCCAGGTCAACATTTGACATCGTGCAGGGCCCCGTCAAAGTTGTCTAGATTGAGAACCTTACAGTTATCTTAACTCCTACACTACTTGATGGGCTCTTAATCTTTCTTAATTGCCACTATCGCTGTCATGTCACTTGCGGAAGCCATCTGAAAACTACAGTTGAGAGTTGGCTACACTACTAATATAATTCATGTACCAAAAGCAGAGTGTGAAAATGATATTCTTATGGTTTGTGAAAATGACAAATTCTTACTATCCTTCGGCTCTAAACCTCAGTCAGTCCCAGATAATAACTAACGACCAGCACATTAATTGACACTTTTAGCTGGAAACTTACCCTTAAATTCGTAACACTTGACATTTAACTTCAGTGTTCATATCATAAAAAATCTATGCGATTGAATAAAATCGTTTGATTTTGTGCCGATGATTTGAAACATTTTCATAATGATAAACTATGTATCTTCATAAGGTCAAAAATAACCAAAGTTGGACAATGGAATGGAATGTATGTAAATGAAGAAACATTCTTTTTATCATTTCTTCTATTTATTTGTTTTCTATTCTCATTCTTTGCAACAGATTATCCCCTTTGACTCAGCGAGATTGGCGAGTGGAGGCGACCGCTCGCTCCGCGATGCAGCTTACGTCCCACGCGAACGTGCCCTCTGATCATAGCCTAAATTAGGTCACGAAACTCCGTCTTCCAGCCGCCAACTCAGTTGAAAGATGAATCTTTCTTCTGCCAAACTTTTGCTCATGAGGAGCATTCCAATTTCAAAGCAGACCTGTGAATGAGCCTAACATTCACGGAAGCTTGTTTTATACCATTGGTAAATTTTATGCATAGACATGGAGTCCAAAATAGATTCGCCAGACGACTCACGTCACTACGTATTTCGCTTGCAAGATAAAAATGCGTTTTTTGTTCTTCCAATGTTGCTAATGTCATTTCTGGCGCCAGTTTGCCAGCGTATAGATTTGGTCAATCACTTTCTACCTACACAATTTCACTTCCGTCTGACCACTAATGTCACTTTACTCGACTATGGTCTACCCACTTAGCACTCAAGGTCATGAATTGCAGAGTTAATCACAATATTGCAATTCGCATTGCGATTAAATAAATTTTTATTCACATAATTTATACTTCAATCAAACTCGATGACCCGCCTGCAGTACAGACAGACTATAAAGGACTCACAGTACAATAAAGTAGATGATAAACCCGCATTGAGATAGTTTCCAAGGCTATGGGGAAGTTTTGGAAAAAAAGTGGAAAAAGCAAAAAAAATCTTAAGGAAGATGATGAGATTTCATCCACTGAGCGATAGTGAGCATTAGTAATATACAATACGTACAGGTAGAAAGGTTACATATAGTCGAAAGCCAAGCAATTATACAGGCACGTCATTAGCATCTTTGCCATCAAGGCCTCTCACGCTTTTCGCCGTGGAAAGCTTCTTTTCAGATGACGAACGGCGATTGTAAACTGATATTGTTGTGGTGCGATCTAAAGACATAATTTGAATCTGATTAATCAAAAAAATTCTCCGGACCGAGATCAGTTCCTCATGCCAGCACCGCTCCAACGCCGTTCCAGCGACGTGCTAGAGCAATTACGTGCCCGTGCCAGGAGAGGTCTATCGATTGCATCCAAATGGCTTCCGGCACGGCAGTGGAGCGGCGGTGGCACGGTCCTGGCCCGCGAATAGTTCTGCACTCAACCTATTGAGGGGCAATGACTAGACATATTTAAGGACTCGCCTTACTTATTTAGCTACCTATTTATCTACAATCACACATGAATTTGTTAAAAAAGTAAAAAGTATCAAAGTATCATACATAGTCACTGATTGAAAAGTACTGTGTTCAGGGACGCTGGTTAGTCTCTTTGAAAAGGTTACGGTACTGGGCGAAACTTTGTAGTTGTGTTGCTTGACCATGAATCATATGGGTTGCTTCTTGTGCGATGGCTTAGTCAAGGCCTCAAAATCATTTCCCACGAAAAGAATAGGTGATTAAATTTGCCCAAATACTTCCTTCAAAGATATCAACTTACCAAATCTAGTTTGTTGCTTCAAATCTTCTTTACTATGAAACAGACTACGAAAAGCTGCTCTGAATCTGGCAGACATTAGGTTGTACAGAATCGGATTGATGGCGCAGTTGATGAAAATCATCGTCTTTGAAAAGAGAATATACCTGAACGTCGTGAAAATGTTTGAAGAATGAGCATAAAAAAACCATTTTTGACATACCCTTCAGAATTCCACTTCTCATCACGGAATGAATTATTGACTACCATTGCACGATACGGTAGCCAACACGTGGCAAAGACAAATACGACCAAAGCCAGCATTTTTACAACCTAAAAAGGGTTTTCGTTTTCGAAAAATACATAGACAGGACAGAATTCACACGATTGTACTTTAGAATGCACGCATTTCCCCTGTAACTTCCAACTTCCCCTGTACCAATTTTTTTCTTTTTCTTCGATACCCCCTCTGGGGCGGAAGAAAAGAAGGTTTTATGAAAAAAAATCGATATCGTGAGAGTATTCTTTATGTGGATCAAATTATAAACCCGAGGAGTTATTGGCTACGTTCTATTTCTTATTGCAAATACAACCACACTCAGTTCCTCCAAAGAACAATGTAATTTTCAGATAACGAAAACATTAGAAGTATCAGAGTTAAATGAGTTGACAAATAGGTTCTTGATAATTACTTTTTTTTATCAATTCTGGAAACTATAAGCCTCCTAAAAAATTAAAATATGCTTAGCACTCAAGGGAAAATGTGATCTATCAAATGCCATGTTCAATGCCGCAAATGCACACATTACCAGCAAGTTCACGACAGCCTTGTGTGATACTAGAGTTTTCCTTTTTTAAATATTGTTCGCCTTCATTTTAGAGTGTATGTTGACACTGTCTCTCCTAAATAGGCAATTTAATCTCTTCAGCGTCTCGTAAACGAGGAATGAGCAAAAATTCTTCGAAAGAATCTAGAACTTTTGGGAACTTTTTCCTTGTATATAAAGTGAAACGGAAAGCATAGAAATTATTTTTGAAACTTTTTTGATGGAGTTTTTTTGTTAAAAAAGGAAATGGTCAATAAAGACTGCGCGCCTTCGATATACCTTCTTATTTTCCTCGGTTTTACTAATTAACACTTTCATTCCTTAGAAAAATCAAAGGTGAAGCTTTGATTATTCAAGATAACTTTTTTCAAACCCTCATTTACATATACTGACCTGATTTCTTCCTTTAAAGGAACTTCTCCGTCCGCTAATATGACTCTCCTTCGCTTCACTCAGTGGTGGCGATGAAAGTAAAGCACTGGTTTGTCCATCTTGAAATGGGATTTTAGATGATTCGCAGAAAATACTGGAAAATAAACTTACTCTTTTCTTTTGGGTCTTTCTTCATCTTTTCTTCACATTGACTCAATACTATAGCAATTTTTGCATAAATAACTATATTCAGGAACATAGGAATGACGTAGAATCCAACCAAATCGCCCACGTACATCACCTTCGAATTAAAACTTATTAATTGGGCTAGAAATTACTATCACAACGATAGAAAAAATACCTTATATTTCCAATCCTCCCTTCCCATTTTAAAATCACAATAAGCACCCTCTTCATCGATTATAAGTCCCGAAAGGAAGAGCCACGGAAAGTTATAGATGAGCGAAAACCCCCAGATTATGCCGATGATAAGCTTTGCCCTTTTCACGGTGCATATTGTTCTGAAATGCAAAATTGACATTGTCTAGACATTTATGGATATAACAAGGACAACGACAAAGATAAAATGTACCTGGCCCAAAATGGGTGACAAATCCCTATGAACCTTTCAACAGTGAAAGCTGTTATAGAAAGTGCAGAGGAGTTGATAGCAAGATATGGCAGGTAGGTGAATAAGGAGCAGCCTGGAGAGAAAAGTTTAATAAACTAATTCAAAGTAATCAGTGATAAAAATGAGTCACTACTTCTATGTCAGAAGGTTTTTCGGGGAAGGAACGTTATAGACTTTTTATTAAACAGATTGGCCCAAACTATTGGTCGATTCTAACCGTCTCATTCTATGCTTTATCTCCGCTAAACCTTGGATACTTGCTATATACCGTATACCTTTAATCATTTGGAAATCTGAGGTATTTTTAGAATCTTCAAATTTATGACCTTTTGACAGTGAATTTTTTAGAGTGAGAAAGTGATAGAAGTTCACAGAATTGTAAAAAATATCCAAATAGTAAGCACAAAAATAAGTTCGCTGGATAATTCAGAAACTCATGTAGATCAAATTAAAAAATTCCCAAAGACCCTCCACCTTTGGCTGGTTTCGCAGCTGTTGAAATGCCTAAGAACTCTGCGCAAAAGCAGCTTAGTCCGAATATAGGAGTACAAAAATTCTTTCACGGATTTTTATTTTACAATAATTACCAGACTCTTGCAGTAAACATCTAGCATATTGATAGCATTAACGAGGGTAAGGGTAGGTTACACGCTAAGATAAGAAATTTTCAAAAACGTCATTGCAGTGAGTTTGATTGACTGACGCATAAGATTGCGCAATTCTTGAATCATAAAGCCATTTTACAGCTCAACTACCGTAATCCCATAAAATCGCACCCTTCATAGCAATAAAAGGCTTATTCAGACGCATACTATTCTCGTTGACAAAATTAATATTGTTCATTTTTTGCTATCGTCTACTAGGATTTCTCATTGTGCCAGCACAATGCCATGAAGTCTAGACGCATAAGTCATCGTCCCACAATACATCAAAAGTTTGCAAATTGCATGTTTTCTTTAGAAAATTATGTGAACCTTTTTTAGGATTCGAACGAATTAACAAAGTACAATTTCCGTTTGTTGATTTACGTCATGTCCAGGAAGCTGGGTTCACCACACACTATAAAGCTTACCCCATCTCCCGCCCCCATTCTTTCAAGATCTTACTTGCAAATTTGTTAAAAACTCACATAAGGATCCAAATGGGTAATCGGCGGTGAAGAGCGATGAGAGTTCGGTTGGAGTAGAAGCAAGAAAGAATAACGTGTCACTGAACGCTAATGATACCAGATAGCAGTTCGTCGGGGTTTTCTGAAATTAAGTGCCTTGAGGAAATCCCCGAGTCAAGGTTCTGTGTGACAATTAATCAATAAATACTTCCACAAAACACCATTTTTACTCCTTTTCTCCTCCTGCGCACCTACCAGATCAAATATTAGGTCATTCCGAAAGTAATTTCGCTTTTTTCAAACGGGCGCAACATCTGATCGAACAAAGGTTTCTAAGAGGTCTTGGAAGCATTTGATGCAGAATTTTATTCTCTTTCTAATGTTTATGGAATTGTTGCAAAACAGTCAATGACCTGTCAGAAAATAACCAAAATTTGCAACCCATGCTTTTCAAGATGGTCAAGTTTTACGATTTTTTATAGCTTTCATATCGATCCTCAGAAGGAATTCAAGTAACGATGCGATAGAGTAAACCTTATAGAATACAGTGCTTCTTTTCACCATTTCTCATAGCTCGCCGTAATTTTTTAAAAGATTTTTTAACAGAACCATCGGATTTTGGCAGGCCCGCCTCAACCACAATCGCATCAAACATCATAATTTTTCGGAATTTGAGACTACCAAAATGGCACTATGAGTGAGCACTAGTTTTACAAAGCAAGTGAGGGTTTGCGGGTTCGAAATATCAAATTTCGAGTTTTTCGGGTGCAGCCTGGGGCTCGCTAAAAAATGAGTTATGATGATTTTATCCCCGGAAACTAAACGAATCGGAAACAAAAAACACACGTCAGAATGAGGATAAAATGCTGCATCGAATAGTGCCCGAGCTGCTCTTCCTTTGATGTTCTACGAGGATTCAGCTGCCCAAGTATGGAAATCGGTAGCATCGGTTAAAATTCTGTTAAAAATGTATGACAAGCCATGGAAAGGAGAAAAAAGCAGTACTGTATTCTATAATGTTTACTCTATCAAACCTTTACTTGAACTCCTTCTGAGGATTGATATGAAAGTTTTAAAAAATCGTTAAACTTGATTATCTCAAAAAGCATGGGTCGCAAAGTTTGATTATTTTCTGAAAGCTCATTGAATGTTTTGCAACAATTTCATAATCATTGGAAAGAGAATGAAATTCTGCATCGAATGCCCCCAAGATCTCTTAGAAACCTTTGTTCGATCAAATGTAGCGCCCGTTTGAAAAAAAGCGAAATTATTAGGCTGGAAACTAAGTTTTGCAACTGGTTCCATAACTTCGCTCTCTTTGGATATGGCGCACTCAAACTTTGGCATTATATAGAAGGCTGTGTGACTACAAGTGAGCACAAATTGTCTAAATTTTGAACACAAAATAGAAAAGTTACAGGCGTTTTTCAAAAACTAGTGAAATTTGACAATTTTTGGGGTTTCAAGCTAAAATGAAGCCTTTGGCAGCCCAAACCATGCGCAGTAATCCGGATTCGTCTACAAATTATTGCAGGAGCTTGACTCCTTTGGTCTATTGAGAAAGAAACAAAATTCAGGGGAATATCGAGATTTGGTGTCCTCATAAAGTCGAACGAGTCGATGTACGCAAGAGCTGCTGGGGACGACCTTCAATGACTAAAGAGTCCGAAGCTCAAATTCCGCCGAGACTTCACATAGTAAGGTTATTTGACCTGCCGAACGCGAATATCATATTCAATTGTCGAATCAACGCCTTTTTATTTGTTTAGGGTGAGACCCCATAAGGTACACCTACAGTAATCCTATAAAAAGCCCTTATCACGCAATTTCACTATCGTTTTCGTGATCAGCATGTCGGATAACACCCCTACGCCAAGTTTCAGCCAAATCCGTCAAACTTTGAATTTTTCTCCTTCATACCATGCACCTACCGTAACCCTCACTGCGACGTCAGAATTTGGCAGGACAGCAGCTGCACTTGTAGCTTACGTAATAGCCAACGCAGTGGCAAAATTTGAGTGCGCCATGTTGAGTGAGAGGGAAGTTATGAGACCAGTTGCAAAACTTAGTTTCCAACCTAATACTTTCGGAATGACCTAATATCAAAGATAATGTAACCTTTTGATTCAACTGGCTAGGCGGTTAGAAGGAGGGGCCTTGTGACCTAATTGGGGTCGCTCGCGCCACGACGAAGTCTGCGTCTCTGTAGCGCGCGTGCTCTCTGATCATTATCCAGCCCTAATTAGGTCACAAAGCCCCGCCTTCCAGCCGCCAAGCTAGTTGAATCAAAGGTTAATCCAACACCATAGAGAAATGTACATATTTTAGCACCACGTAATGTCCTCGATGGCCTTATGACCAGCTCCGCCTGATTGGGTTTAGTGTCCAACTGTAGGAACTATACAAATGGCATATTGTTTGTATAGCACGAGTAACACCCAAATATGCAATTATGTTCTTGACCGAAATATTCATTAGATGGCGAAGGAGAAATGTGATTGGATTTTACGATTTTTTGTAGCCCAAGGTCTTATTCTTTTCATGCGCAACATATGTAGTCACCATTTGGGTTTTGAGTACCTCAAAAAAGAATAATGATTATTAATTATTTTTAGATTCTAGTGATACTTTTCCAATCAGAAAATCTTGTTCATTTTACTTTCGTGATATTTTACATTTGGAGTGACTTGTTATGAAATCATCTGGTACGACGGAACAATAATCAAGCGTAGAAGAAAAAAACGAAGTTGGAAAATGTCTTTGAATCCAATAATATATGTACTCTTCAACTTGATAAACTATGCATGTATTAGGTTGAACCGAAAGTTCTGTCGTTTCATTTTCAAGAATTTGTAACTTTGCGCTGTTTCAACGGATTTGCTTGCTTGTAATTTTATTGGAAAGAATACGTCTTTCGCTTTCAGACGCTGTTTTGCGAAGCTTCTGTTTCATATTGGGTGCGGGATAAAAATGGAAAACTAAGACCATATGAGCTTTAAACATTTTGAGTTAGGTCACCATAAATCTGGAACGCTGCAAAAAATCTGAAATCGTCAGTACATATGTTTTTTGGCCTATTCTTTGCAACTGTGAAGAGTTTATGCTGCTTGGACGTCTCTGTGAGAAGTTATGATTTTCGCGAAAACTGACAAATTAATTAATTTTGGCGTTTTCCATAGTAAACTCGATATTCATAACTTCTCACAGAGACGTCCAAACAGTACAAACTTTTTAAGATGCAAAGGGTAGGCCAAAAAACATATGTACTGACGATTTCAGATTTTTCAGCGTTCCAGATTTATGGTGACCTAACTCAAAATGTTCAAAGCTCATATGGTCTTAGTTTTCCATTATTATCTCCTCAGCCAGTGTGAAACAGAAGCTTCGCAAAACAGCGTCTGAAAGCGAAAGACGTACTCTTTCTAATAAAATTGCAAGCAAGCAAATCCGTTGACAGCGCAAAGTTACAAGTTTTCTTGAAAATGAAACGGTCCAACCTAATAGATAGAGTATATCCTACAGATGATTATAAAAGGTATTAAATGTTTGGAAGAAATATGCACTTTCAATTTAAAGCGTTTTCGATTGAGTCACTTTGGATCATTTAAAAGCTAAGATGTTGTTGTGGCGAAAATTTGGTCTCACTCAGCCTTCTACGACATTTGCAAGCTGCAGATGACCTAGAAAAAAGCTTGATTTACTGACGCAATCAATCTTTGCCCAATCATTCCGCTTGGAACTCAATTTTTCAAATCCACTTTCTCCTTCGCAGATTTCTTGCTTCATTGACGTCAAAGCGAGGATCCCGAAGCTAGTAATCTCCATTATGTTGTGCAAATTCTGTTTCTGCACAGGAAACGCGAGCGCTGCACATTCTCCTACCCACTTACACTCAATCATACGCCTTATAGCCTCCAAATAACAGCCTTAGCAAGTCATCAATGCTTTCGCGTCAAAAAACGTCACTCTGTGATTTTTGCGTCTCGATGTCAAGTTCATCACGACGCGAAAAAAAATCTGTGACGTTTTTGCGCGTAAATAAAGCGGGGGAGTAGAACAACAACGTAGGCGACGCAGCAGCATTTTCACGGACTTCCTTACAAAGTAAACAGAAGAAGTTGTTGCGAGGTGTAGGTCACACTGTTCCGCTCGGAACCACTTGTAAATGCTTAAAGTTCGGGTTGAGTAATGATGACGAATTTCTTGGGAAAAGTGCAATTTATGAATAGAAAAAAATTGGCCAAACGCTGATGTATATTACTAAATTCAAGCTATTTGGTTCTTATTTTCTTCACTTTCGAGTGTGGAAAGGCTACCAAAAGGTGTGAAAAGTCATTTTTCGCTTGTTTAATCATTTGCACGGTATTTTCAGAAAATTTTTCACCAAACAGTCGTGAGATGCCGTAAAAGTTCTGCGATCTCCCACGTTTGGTTACAAATGACCATATTTTGGCTGCTTGATATTATTAGAGAATTAAGAAAATTAAGAGATTAAAATGTTCGATTCAGACACAATTTGCTATAAACTAGTGGACGGTATATTGTATAATTGATAAAATTTGTGAATGCGCCATACTATTAGGTTGTCCCGAAAGTTTTGTCCGTTTTTTCAACCTATCATAAAAACGCGAGGAATGAAGTTAGGGAAACGCTTTAGGTACTATCCGACGCAGCTTTTCCCCCTCTTTCCAACTGTCATGATCTCATGCCGATTACTCTTTTGCTCATTGAGATAAACGCCGAAATTTCGAACCCGTGGTTTTTACTATGTCCAAGTTTGGCAATTTTTCGCAAACTTCATTTTCAACTTTTTGAAACGCTTTGATAGCGCTCAGATAGAGTAAACAAAGGGCAATGCAATGCAATTTTTTGGCTTATCCAGCTGGCTTTTCAGTATTTTTTGAGATGATTTTTTCAAAAGTCTTCACTTTTGCGAAGTCCCAAAATACAGAAAGGCCTCCAACGCTAACAAATCATCGGATTTTGAAGCTTTCAAAAACTGATTACGATCACTCACTATTTTTACGAAGCAAATGAGCGTTTACCGCTTCGAAATATAAGATTTTGCATTTTACGTGTGTACGCTGGGGTGGGGTCAAATTCAAGAATTATGAGAATTTTATCGCTAAGGGCCCCGCAAATTGGAGAGAAAATACACTCACTGGAAAGAGGAGGAAAAGCTGCATCGAATAACGCCTTAGTTGTGCGCCGTTTCATGATGTCTGGCTTTTGGCATCACCAAAAGTGGAATTTGATAGCATCAGAAAAATAATTCTAAAAAATTTTCAAAACTAGCTATAGATGCCGCAAAATTGCATTATATTGCCCTTTGTTTGCTCTATCTAACTGCTACCAGAGCTTTTCCCAAATTCAAAGATAAAGATTGTGAAAAATTGTCAAACTTGGACATAGTAAAAACCATGGGTTCGAAATTTCGGCGTTTATCTCAGTAAGCAAAAGAGTAATCGGCATGGGAGCATGACATTTAGAAAGAGGAGGAAAAGATGGTCGGATGATGCTTAGAGCGTTTTCCTATCTTCGTTCCTCGTGTTTTTATGATAGGTTGAAAAAACGGACAAAACTTTCGGGACAACCTAATATTCTAAATGAAAGGAATTAATTATAATGGCTGAATGAATATGAATAATTTTTTATGCTTGCACCGTGAAAAAAATCGAATGTCAATTAAAAGTAAGGTAGAGTAAGTAATGAAACGAAAAGAAGGGACGAATAAGAAAGCAAAATAAATGAATAAATGAAGAAGGGGTGTCTGAACAAAATTACTAAAAATGTATAAAAATTGGAGTAAATATACTTTCTTATTGGAAGAAATGGATGTTAGAATGATCTATTGGAGCGGAAATGGATGAATGAATGGAGAATGAGTATATGAATTTTGTCTGTCACTGTAGGAATGTTTGGATGTAGATGGAATAGAATGGGATGGAATGAAGCGAATGAAATGACGAAATGGATTGCAACGAATGAATGAATGGATGAATGAGTGACTTAGAATGACTGATGGATGGACATGCAGTGAATGTTTGCATTAAGAAAAAATAGAATTTACGGAGCGATAATAGTGAAAAGGAAACAAAAGTCAAACGCACACCTTAAATGAACGAATGAAAGAAAGATGAAAAAGCGGTTAGGAAAATTTTGAAAGGACTAGCGACTAATCGAGAGAGCAAAATCAACGGCCTTCATTGAAACCAAATGTTTGCAAAACAGAATCTAAGTGAGTAACTAAAAACAAAAATCTCTGCTGGAATGGAATCGCTGTGAAAAAAGCAAGTTGGAACAGAAATTTTTGTGGAAAATTTTTTTCTGTTGAAAGTCATCAGTAATCACTCGAATGAATGGCTAATTCCTTTAAAATAATTAGTGATTATCTCCCCCCCCCCTCCCGCTCCGTTATAAACTAGCGTCCTTTGCCAGGTTTCAGATTACTTCTACTTGCTCTCCTACCAAAATTGTCAAATCCCTCACTCTCTAGAAAACCCCTCAGATCTTGCGAGTATATTATAGTGATTCGTTCATGTGTACAAATTACCATTCCCAATCAAAAATACTGCAAAAAACGTTGATACTTACCATTCCACGAACTTTCAGCACAACAAATATGACGAGTATGTTGCCCACGATTCCGATCACCGAAAGTGAAGCGAATAAAACTGCAGCACAGTATTTGATCCATTCGGTTTGGTCGACACTGGACATTTGGCAATCTGGCGGTAGTTCTGCAATGGACCCCCTGAGTGTGGCTAATTTTGGAACAAGGCGGGCCCCGGCAGGGCCAATTGCGGACCTGGTAACAGAATCCACTCGGACGTGCTGTCAAATTGTAGATTTGGACACATTGTTCGGAGTTGATCGGAGAGAAATGTTGGCATCGCTGAAACAGGAAATCTTAGAACAAAAAATTACATGTGTTACACAAAAGGCGGATGGAGTGAAATATTGGAGACAATCGAAAAAATCAAAAATGCAAGAAAGTCTCAAAAGTAATAATTCTACTTTTATTACTCTCAGAAAAACACTCAAGATGTCCCATGTGATGGGAGAATTCAAAAATCTTTGCGGATTATCAAATATTGAGAAAAATTAGTAAACGAGCAAAAACGAGAGAGATTATGAATTTGTTTGTTTAGAAAATTGAAAATTTGTTCTTCTGCTACGTACATCCGAAACTTTGGTAAGAGAAAAGTTATGAAACTTATCCAAAAATCAAAATTGAAATTCATAACTGTATCAAAATTATTAAATAATTAAATTTTTATATCTGTGTCAAAATTATTGAATTATTAAATTATTATACTTGCATCAAAATTATCAAATTATCAAAATATTATATCTGGATAGGAATTATCAAAATTATTTTTCGATAATTTTTATTAAAAATTTGCAAAAAAAAAACTGGCTGGGCTCCATCCATAAGATCCAAAAAAATCATTCAAATTAATAATAGAGTTTCAACATCCAAAAAGATTGCGTGAATTGTCTTGCACAGTAGAAAATGAAAAATTTCATTGATCTACCTCACCCCTCCTTCCCCCCCCCCCCGCAAATATGTCCTCTTCCATAATCTTTTGCATAGAGTTAATATCTTTATACTCCTATCCCCAAATCGCAAACTCTTGGAAAATGAGCAAATTTGATCTCTCGAATTTTGTACGAAAATAACTAAATATCTCGGAAACGCAAAACTGTTATGTATGGCTCGAAACTCGCGCCTAAGTGCTAACCACAATTTTTCGTAAATCATAGATTTCATGACGGATAGCGAGTCAAAATTTGACGGGTACTCGTGTACTATTAACCCTTTGCAGAAACGCGCACATGATGGATGATTAGTCCCTAAGGGATTCGTCTCTAGTAAAGATGTTTATGTAAAGATCCAAATTGTTCGCACTTTCTTGCGGGGAAAGTGGGGAAAGTCTCTTGGAAAATTGAAGGAATTTATGAATTTTGAGGAAGAAACAAGGACTCAGTTTCATAAATTTGAAGCTAATAATGAATTTTACTTTTTTTGAGTGTTTCAAATTTGCAAAATTACTGGTGTAATCTAGCATTATTATCGAGGAAAACCAGCAAATGCCATGATTTCAGAGCATAAAAAATTCTTGTTTAATCAGACGAACATGAAGAAAAAAGGGAAATGCTGATCGAAACGATATGAGAATTTACTAATTTTGGATTTTATTCTCCATCTTTAAATACCCCATACACAAATTACATGACATACGATGCTAGCAGGTTCAAAGAAAAATCAAAAGTCAAAATTAGATTTGTTCAAATATCGAACAATTGAGCTCTAGGATCTATAAAATTCAAAACAATAAAAAAAATTAACAAACTAAGGTTCAGCATCCAGAATTATTGTACGAATTATCTCAAGTAGGAAATGAATGATTTTCTCGATCTACTCCCCCCCCCCCCTACTCTCTTCACATTTATTTGATCATTTTCGCTTGAGAATGAAATACTTAAATTTCATCACCACCCTGCCCTGCGACTTTCGGACTGTTTGACACGTTTATTTTCAGAGTTTATAATTTGATCATTAATTTATTTTTATTTTTATGTTGAAAAGGGATTTGCGAACAACCAAAAATAGAAATATTTAAATGGTAAGCAATTTTTTCAAGATTGTAATAGAGCAAGGTTCTGCTCTATAAATAAGTGTATTTTGTGTCTGGAAGAGACAAGTACGTTTGGAGGAAAAACGCCAGATTCAGAAAATTAACAAAAAACAACAAACATATCTTTTCGGAAACGTAACAAAACTCTATTCAAACTGATTAGATGAAACTAAATACTCATTAGTCGCATTAGAAATTCAGGAAACGCATCAGGAAATGAAAATCGCAAATTTAATTTTTCTCCTAGTTTATGGAGACAAAAAGCGTCACCTGACAGTAAAACAGTTTCATTTTATGCACTTTACCTAGTTTTTTTGGAAGTTACTGGAGGAAAATGAACGTAGCTAAGAAGTCGGAATGGTAGCAGAACTAATTGGCAGTGGAATGTCTGGATGTAGTGTAGCTTCCAAGTTTGTAAGGTGAGAAAAGAATGTGAGAAAACTTTTTACTTTGAATTTACCAAGTGCAATCCATTAGAAGCCGCTTTGCCCGCAGCAATTTTCTCTTTCTTTTCTTGAAATCTGAAACCAAACGCACAAAATCAAAACGCGGTTTTGAATACTTCCCGGATTTTGTTAACTATCTCAATTGCAAAAATAGCTAATTAAGCATGGATTATTTTAAGCATTTTTAATGGCATATTTTCTCCTAATTTATTTTTGAAGAGTAAAGAAGTCGAAAGGCAGAAAGCAGTAGGAGTGACGTTAGTCAAATGAAAGGACTTTTTTGATATAGGCTTTACTTTCTCGTTCTTTTTTTTAACAAAGTAAAGCGAAAAAAGAGCAATAATGTGAAAGCTGCAAAGCTTTCTTTGACAATGTGCAATTATTTAATGGCAATATTAGGTTACAAAAAGCGAATTTGCAGAAGAGAATAAGTCAAATAATCGAAAAAAAAAGAAGGGCAATGCAATGTGCAAGAAACTTGCATACTGTCATTTTTTTAAACAGGTACTGCATCAAAAAAATATATTGTTGTTATTTACTTATAACACATAATCAGGAAACTGCATTTAAATTTTAGCTGTAAGTGAGCTAAATTTCTGCTCCATTTCCTCACAGAGATTTTTTAGAATGAAACAAAGCTTACATTAAAATTTTTTACATAGAATAATTGCTTCAACTTTTTTGGACTTAAAAAAAACCAAAATTTGAACCGAGCTGATTTTGATCCTTTCTGGACCTTTTTTAATTTCTTCCCTTAGAAAAATTTAGTTATGGTGGAATATTTCAACGAATATTGTTGGTTTTAGATGTTTGATACCGATTTTGAATTGATTCTAGAGAAATTCCATTATATGACATAATACAACATGCATCCCACATAGAGACACAATGCTTTTTTAAGCTTTTTGAAACATATGAGGAGTAGTTGAGATGTATAGCTTCGGAATGCGCAAGAAAACTGTTTATTATTTTTTCTAAACAGTTATTTCCCTGCCAAAAATCTTGTTTTCGGTCTTTTTTCTGCATCAAACAGTAATAACCTTAAGCCCGCATGCCACGTACATCCCCGCTGGGGAGGGGAGGGATCTGAGAGGGGATGCGTCATATCTAGCTATTCTAGATATCTTTCTTCTTGCTTCTCTATCTTGCTTGTGAAGCTTCTCATACTCTAATGCCTGCTCATAATTGATGCCAGGTTACTGGCATGATTAATTAGATTTTTACTACTTTGTGTGATCCCCTGGGGATTCCCAGGCGATCCCAAGAGGATCATCTCTCAATTTCAATGCCATTTATCTTCCTGAAATCTCAATGAAATTGTAAAATTGTACTGTGGATATACTACGGCAGTGCTACACATGTCTATAGTAGAAATAAGTGAAATCTCAGGATATCGAAATCTTCGGTAATCCCTGGCTCGCGAGCTAGGAATCATCGAAAAATTCACAATCTTCAGATTTCATTTCTCCTGTCGAAAATATGCTTAGCAGTGCCGTAGTATATCCACAGTACAATTTTATAGCGTTTCATTGTGATTTCAGGAAGATAAATCATTGAAACTGAGAGGTGATTCCCTGGGGATCGCCTGAGGATCCCCAGGGGATCATACAAAGTAGTGAAAATCTAATTAATTATGCCAGTAACCTGGCATCAATTATGCGCAGGCATTAAGGTATGGGAAGCTTCATAAGCAAGATAGAGAAGCAAGAAGAAAGATATCTAGAGTAGCGAAATATGACGCGTCCTTTCTCGGATCCCTCCCCTCCCCAGCGGGGATGTACGTGCATACGGGCTTAGAAGTTTGGAAAAGATATAATATCATAAAGAAGCGGGAAAGCTTTCAGAGATTTATGAAGACTTGGAAATTCCTGAAAATTTGGGAGAAAACTGGAAACTTTCAATGCTTCAGAGAACGGGATAATTACTCAGCTACTCAAAAGCTGGAAATTTTCAAAGTTGCAGGAAGAACAGGAAGAAACGGGAAGTTTACAAGACATTGGGAAAAGAGAAATTCTTGAAGCATCGAGAGAAACGAGAAACTTTCGAACCTCCATGGAAAACGGCAAATTTTAACCTTAAGGTAAGAAAATACAAGTTCTCAAGGCTTCAAATAAATGGGAAATTTCGAAACTTCCAGAAGTAACGAAAAAGCTGCATATAGCCCTGACTGACAACTGTGCCAAGCAAATTATGATGAACAGCGGCATGGCAGTGACAAGAATGCGAACTCATTGTTTTGTTGCTTGCAGTGAGCAGAGGTGGCGCCGATTGGAAGGGGGGGGGGGAGAGAATTTCGTCTGCAAAGGATGTGCTTGGAATCGGAAAGCAAATGCAGAGGGGATAAAATGTCAAGTGGTAGTCTCTCAAAAACTTCCAATATAAAATAACTGAATGAAGTGGAATGCGAAAACGGGAGTGCGATTTTAGGCGAAATTTGCAAGTTTGAAAAAAATTGATTATCGTTCGTTTTTGTTGCTGTGTTTAGTGTTTTTGATTTTTATGAAATATCCTAAGCGTATAAAATGAGATGAAATAAGCAGGGATTTGACTTCGGGTCAAGTACATGCACTGAATGACATATCAACAATTCCGCATTATCTGCTTTCTGAAAAGCCCTGGAAACTTGAATAATTGGATGTATACCGATGCTTTGAATGACCTTTTCGAGCTCAATGGAAAATCTTGCAGCTCTTAACAACGGTGAATTTTCAGTTCTCGAAAAATGGCAAATTGCTTAATTGGGATTCCAGGCAACTCATCCTTCTGTTTCTAGAGACTTACTTCTTGGCTGCGTTTCTGTAACGA